GAAACCCACCAGAGCCACCAGACCCGAAAGTCATTAGCTCAAACCAAATGCTCGTAATAGTTTAATTTAAGGCTTGCATATCAAAAGCCGCGAACAATAGCAACTATCAGAATCGAAATTTCTTTGCTTTTCCAATGTTTCCTCGGCAACCAAACAGTTAAAGATTAAATTTCTATTCCAAACCATAAAACTCGAAAACCCTAAGAAAAAATTCTATTTGGATAATGATCTTGAATATCCAAAAGAAGTAGAAAAGACATTTATGAAAAGATACAAACTAACCATTTTTGTTTGCGATGTTAGAGAAGGAAGAAGAAGATGAGTGGCTTAAAGAATCTAGGAGAAAAGAAAAAATCGAAGGCTCAGTTAGCGGGTTTTATTTTGGGGTTAAGGGAAGGAAAGCATTAACTTAAGCTTAACCTGTTGGGTTTGGGTTCCCTTCCTATGTGGTAAAAGCCCATATTTTGAAGTCCACTAACTAATTATTGTTTTACAATTATGCCCCTCAACTAACAGCCGGAGTTAAGGGATAGGAAAGCATTAACTTAAGCTTAACCTGTTGGGTTTGGGTTCCCCTTCCTATGTGGTAAAGAGCCCGATATTGTTGAAGTCCACTAACTGAATTATTGTTTACAATTATGCCCCTCAATAAACAGCCATATTCCTAATATTTTTTAGGCTCTCATTTGAAAGTCGACACACAACCAGAAATCGTGTGAGAAAAAACAGAGAGAGGAGAGGGTTTTCTGCACAGCCCTCCAGCACCTAGCCAGCCGTGTTTCTGGAGATTCCCTGGAGTTCAACCGTGTGGATGGTCGTTGTGAAAATTTTGGATATGTTGTTCTTTTTCTCTCTGTTTCTTGATATCTCAACCGTGAGGGATTTCATTTGGAGGTTCTAGAGATTGAGTTTCTGGGTCTGATCCGAACCTGTCCCTGTTTCTGCTTCTAAGCTCTGCATAACTTCAATCTTCTCAGCTGTTTTCGCAGTCAGTCCTTTGTCGGATTGGTGACTGAATTTTTGGTGCAGCTTGTTCCTAACATCCAATCTCTTGATTCTGGCTTGATCAGTTAATTTTTTGGTTATGAGTAGAACTTTTTAATATGTATTGAAGAACAACAGCTGTGTTTTGTGTGATCACTCATTGTGTTCTCCACCCATTTATTTTGTGGTGTTTGTGGTATAAGCTTACATATTTTGACTGTTGTGGAGCTTGAGCTGTAAGTTGTATAGAAAATATTTGTGATAGTGAACTTTTATTTCCTTGGACCGAGGAGAGGTCCGTGGTGTTCTTAGCGCGCGAGCGACCGGAGGAGTTTTTCCAGCGTAATAAAGATTTGTTCAATGTGGTGAAATGTTATATTTTGATTGTGTATGATCTTGTCGGCCTCAGCTTGTGTTGCTTGAATTGTTTGCTCCATTGTTACTCCTAAAGATTCAATTCAAGTGAGGGGAAGTTTTGATTGTGAGGTCCAGATTCTGTGTTAACTTGCGATCATATAGAAATCTACATCGTTATTTGGTTATGTGGACCCAACCCCACCTCACTAGTGACCGGTTTCCTGACCAGAAATGTTCATGTGGTGAATGTTATTTTTGATTGTGTATGATTTCGGTCAGCTTGTGTTGCTTGAATTTGTTGCTCATTGTTACTCCTAATAGATTCATTCAAGTGGGGAAGTTTTTGTTGTGAGGTCAGATTCTGTGTTACTTCCCATCATAACCCTCGTGAAACTACATCGTTTTGGTTATGTGGACCCAACCCCACCTCCACTACCGTTTCTGACCAGAAAGGCAGTTTTCTCTCTCCTCATCGAATATAGATTTTGATGATTCCCTCCCCTGAATGCAGATGTTTACTCACTTTACTAAATGAAAACAGAAGAAATAAGTGAACTTTCTTCGATAAAAAGAAACTTGAAAAATTAGTTGTACTTTGTATTTATCCAAGATGATCACAGAAGCACAACCATGGAAAACGAGAGCATTTATTACGGCGAAGTAGCTTAGGGTGATTATCGCTATGGTAAATGACGGCGAAGAAGAGAAATAGGGTGGGTGGAGAGAATAAATAGGGCAGAAAAAGTTATTGGGTTGGGTCAGTAGAGAGAAAATCACATATCCATGTAATTGTTGATGTGGGAAACACTCTTACTTTTTAAATAGCTGATGTGTACAATAAAACACGTCATGTTAGAAAAAGTTCTCTTTCTACGAGCAACCGGCAAAAGTGAGTTTTATGATGCAAATATGTAAAGTTCAGTCAGTTTTAAGATACAAAATGAAGATCGGGGACAGCAAGGTGAATACCCCTAACTTGAGGGACCTCAGCTGACATAAGTCCAATACTCAAAAAAAAATTATACATAGAAAAAATAAAACAACAACATAGTAAAAGCCACGTGGCTGAAAAAAAGTTGAAACTTTGAAATACAGGATGCGATGTTAAAAGGGTTGGGAGTGTTGTAGAATTACTTACCCCAAAACCAATATATTGTCTCCTTACTTATATATTTTATCTAATTAAATAAAATAATAAAAACTTTAGCAAATAATAGTTTTCAAATTTAAAGGTTTTAGATTTGGTTCCTACATATTTGAATTATAATATAATTATAATTATTACCGTAATAAGTTTAACAGTTTTAATTTTATTATTTAGAGTTTTTAAATAATAGTTTGAGTACACAACCAGAGGGGAATGCGTTTGTAGTCCAACGGTTAGGATAATTGCCTTCCAAGCAATAGACCTGGGTTCGACACCCGGCAAACGCAATTAAACTTTTTATTCCTTTTTTTTGGTTTTGTATTTCTTGGCATTATTGGTTTTTTCACTTTGTATTTCTTGGCATTATTGGTTTTTTTTACTTTCTAGCTTCTATTACTTGTTAATCTCTTTGTTTAGTTTGGTATTTCTTGGCATTATTGGGTATTACTTTCTAGCTTCTATTTGGTGGGATTATTGGTTTTTACTTTCTAGCTTTTATTTGATGGGCTTGGAAGGTGAGAAATTTATTTATTTTTCAGAATGAGTCTTATTTCGGGACTTTAGGGGAAAATGACTGAGTTGATTTTTTTATTAAGTTTGGCACTCTATGATTTGAGTTTGTAAGTTGACTGCTATTAGGACCTGTCTTGTGCTTGCATGGAATTGTGGCTTCCGAAAGATTATTGTGGAGTCCGATTGTTTAAGGTAGTACGATTAGATCATTCAGAGAGCGCTCTCATCGTCATATTTTTCAACAAACCAATTTTGCGATTAACCATTTGATTATATCGATACATTTTATCCTTCCTCTTTGAATATTTGGGATTCATGCCTGACATCTTTGGATGTTGTAGTATTAATTTTCTAATATAATTTTTTTGTTTCCCATTTGTTTTTTTTTTTAAATAGTGATAGTAAAAGCATAAATCATAAGATTTGGTTTTTTTTTCTAATAAATACATGAATTAGCATTTTAATATTTGAAAAATAAAGTATCACAAATATTTAGTAATAAAATAAATAATGTGAAAAAAATTCAAGTTTTACTAATATTAAACCTCTTTCTTACTCTAAAATAAATATATAACCTTAAAGTTGTAGTTTAGTTGGTGAGAGTTTACTCTACACCTTTTTAAATAAGGATTCAATTATTAGAATTATTAAAATTAGATGGTAAACAAACATTTTTCAGTATTATCTGGATTATTTAAATCCTAGTTTAAATATCCCTTTAATCAGATTAGAGAAATAAATTTAATAGAATTTGTAAAAATAAATTCGTACAACCATATTATAATTACTAAAAGAATAAATAAACATATTTGTATATTTATTTGTTGAAAATGTCTGGTGGATTCAATATTCAACGTTCCTCCAATGTTCAATTCGAATACTTTTCTCCTTCACCTAAACGTAAGAAAATAGTCCCATAAACAAAAATTTAAAATGGTTTCAAAATTTTCTTCTGTTTTATTTATTATCTCATTAATTAATTGGATTTTAAATCTTGAAATTGTAAAAATATTTTAGTATTATTAAATTAAATTTTATTGATTATCTATTTTTTTTTATTAATCTCAATCAAGTATAATCTGAATTGTCTTTTCATTAATGTAAAAAAATACAAGGTTTGAGTTTAAATATTTTTTATCACAAAAATTTTTATCATCATGGAAAACGCAACACTCTGTTATATTGCGTGTATCAATCAGGCCATCAAACCTCTTAATAAATAAATAAATAAAAAAATCCTAATAGTGGTGTTTTTATCATTTTTAATTCTGGAACCTTTGAAAAGATTCTAGGCAAGTGAAATGAAAAGGGACGAACATGAAATTCTACTTGTTGGGGGCACTCAAAAAGCCACCACAGTAGCCTCGCATTTGCTGTCCTCCAGCTTGTCCTGCCGTCTAACTGTACTGTCTGTAACTGTAACCATTACAAAACAGAAACAAAACCAATAACAAACCATCTGGCTTTAAACAAATAAAAATAAATAGAAATTCACTTATTTTAACAAATTACACTTTTTTATTTTTTCCAATTTTGAACTAAAGGTTTACTATGCCTAACTTTGTTTTTTCTTTTCAATCATCTCCCTTTCCCTGGAGTCCTGAACGATCAAGAGAAAAATAAAAAATGGAAAAGAAAAGTAAAACATTTACATTGGGTTAGCCGTCAGGCCGCCACTGGCAGGTAATCAGCCTGAAAATGTGGACTGATTATTTTTATAATTAAAATTAAAAATATGAATATTTCATGTTAAAATATAATTTTCTCCTCTATTGTTCCTTGTCCTTTTTAGCATGAAATGGAATGAATTCAATAATATTTTTAATCATTCTAATTTAAAAAATTGGAGTCTGTGATGAGATGGTTTTATAATTTGAAATGTTTAATATATATAATTTTATAAATTAAAAATATTCTGATTAGACACATATAGGTATATAGATAATAAATATTAAAATAATAAAGAAAAAAAAAATATCAATGTAGGTGTAAATTTCGCGAATGTATAGCGAAACAGGAAACGACTGCTGTCCGCGTAGTATCCGTACTAGTATCGGGAAATTTCCGATAAGAAGACAACAGCAAGTCACGGAAAATCGTCGACGAGAAGGGTTTTAAGTTTTTAGATTTATCTTTCTCTTCTACAAACTTTTAACGTCAAAATAATACTTCTTCTTCGACACTAAACGTTGCGTTTCACACACAAACATCTGTTCAATTCTCCTTGGACCTCTCTCCTTTTCCTCTGTCTTGCTCTTTTCTCTCTTTGGGAGGGAATTGGAGCTTCCTTTGGCGGGAATTCAATTCCCTTTTGTAATCTAAATCTCTTTTTTGTATATGTATTTTCCATTTGGAGTTTCATTTCAATTGCCGTTTGGGAATTCAAAGTAAATAATATATTTTTCTGTATATACATTACATAAGCTGCTGTTAGCGAAAGGGAAGACGATGGGAGTATCAGATAATTCAAAAGGGCTAATTCTTGCAGTGGCATCGAGTGCTTTTATTGGGTGCAGCTTCATTTTGAAGAAGAAGGGCTTGAAGCGAGCTGGTCCTATTGGTACTCGTGCTGGTTGGTCACTTTGACTTGTGTTCAATTCTTTGCTTATTTTCTTTCTTTGGGTATTAGCTGTCTTGCTCATTTCTGATTTTGTTCGTTCCATAAGCTTTTATTATCTTATAATACCATTAGTACTCTTTTATTTATTGAGAAGTGATTTAATTCTGCAATTAAGGAGAAGAACGTCTATTCAGTTCAAAACTGCTTGAATTTTCATTTTATGATTTGACTGTTTGTTGAATGCTGGAAAAATTTCCTCGAATGTAGAATACATTGAATTTCTTGGTTAACTTTTTTACAAAATTTCTCCATTTTGTCAAAGAAAACTTCTTTGCTTCTTAGATTTTAAAATTGCTTTTGCCTTAGTGAGTACTTTGGGGGACATAAAAAGTACTATTTATGAGTCTCTGAAGCAAATATGATATATGGGTTCTTGATGTAATAAAACCCACAAAACAGTCTTAACAAGATGAGATATAGCATTGGGAATGCTTCCTAGTTAGAATTATGATTATAACAGCTCAAATTGCAAGATATTGGGATCTTGCTCCCAGGTTTTATTAGCAATAAGCATTACATTGGTTCGAAAGATTTTACTGCAAGTAACTATCTTGCTTCAGTTGGGCGGTTGTGATTGAGGAATTACTTATTTCTAAGTATTGTGTTTCAAGTTTTAGACCTATAAATCATTTGCTGGAAAAATACAATGTTTGATTCTTATTATGAAATGAAAAATATGAACTTTTGATGCACTATTGCATCTTTGTATTTTTGGGTTGAACCTACAGGCTTGAATCAATAAAGGGTGGTGATTTTGCTTCCCCATTAAAATTACCTAGAATTTCATTAATAATTAGAAGGGTTGTGGGTGATCTTGCAGTTGAAGTAAATTTTCCTGAGTTATGCATGCATGTTTACGTAAGTAACTGACGTATTTCTCCTGAATAATATAGGAGTTGGTGGTTATACCTACTTACTAGAGCCACTATGGTGGGCTGGCATGGTGACAAGTAAGTTTAGAAATACAAGTACCAGTTTCTTGTTCAATCTATCCCCATTGTGGGCATAAGCTCTCTGAAATTGTAGTTATCATTCCACTGACAATTGACTTTTAGTTTATAACTTCTAAATAACAGTGTTTGTCGGAGAGGTTGCAAATTTCGTGGCTTATGTTTATGCTCCGGCAGTTTTAGTAACTCCACTTGGTGCACTTAGTATCATTATCAGGTAAATGCAGATGTTTCTAACATTTTATTGTTTGTGCTATCTTCTAATATAATTGTTAACGTTTGTTTCATTTTAAAATTGATATGTTTGTTCATACCTGAGTAGTGCAATCTTGGCACACTTCATGTTGAGGGAACGGCTGCAGAAAATGGGTATTGTTGGATGTGTCTCCTGCATTGTTGGATCAGTAGTTATTGTAATCCATGCACCTCAAGAGCTTACTCCTAATTCTGTACAAGAGATCTGGACTTTGGCAACCCAACCAGGTTAGTTTTTTTTCTTAAAATCTTTGTTGTCACTAAAAAGTTCCTTATATTCAGTAATTGCTTACTATGACTCTTTTCTGTTTGTCTTTTGCAGCATTTTTAGTATATGTAGCAGCTTCACTTTCAATGGTGTTAGCTTTGATTTTGCACTTTGAACCTCAATGTGGGCAGACAAACATTTTGGTCTACTTGGGAATATGTTCTTTAATTGGTTCGATAACGGTGATGAACTTTCCTTTTAGTTTTTAAAATGTTGGTAATTATGTTTTATAGCATTTGTAGTGTTGATAATTATTACTCTGCTAGGCAGTTTTAGCGGGGCTTGGAGAGAATGATAAGAATGAGAGGGAGGAAAAAATTTCAATTGTAAGCAGTTAGGACTGCCACTGCTGCTAGGTCCTTACTTGTTCCTTGATATCTTTTTCCCTCAATGCCTTTCAGGTTGTTAGCATAAAGGCCATTGGAATCGCAATAAAGCTTACTCTGGAGGGAACAAGTCAGCTAGCTTATCCGCAGACTTGGTTTTTCCTTACGGTTGCAGTTATTTGTGTCATTACGCAGCTAAATTACCTCAACAAGGTGAGTGTTGTAGTCATCTGTATTTCTAGTGATTCCATTCACTGATTTTACTTGTTTTTGCTTCTGGTATTTTTAGATGAGATCCCCTTTGTTCTTTCATTCCCAACTGATTGACCCAAGGTCTTTAATCTCATTCTGTTCTGGCTACAATGGCTCATACATAAATCTGGTGATCAGATTAGTGAAACTCTCGCAGCAACAATAAAGGCATACCAAAATTAATTTGGGTGATGAAATTGAAACAAATTGAAGTCCAATTAACTGCTTGAATACAAGCTCTAAGTTAAGGACTACTGATGCAGTTTTTACCTGTTCACTTTTTGTTATCAGGCTCTCTTGATATGCAAAATAATTTAATTGACAAGTAGCACTCATTGTTGAGCTTGCTTTGGTTTACGTGTTTATGCAAATTTCACCACTATGATTTTCTTCCAATAGTGTAAACCATACATGTGAATGTCAAAACTTGCATAAGCCTTGAAAAAATCTTTTGGGTAAATTGCTCAAACATGCCTGAGGTTTGACTTAGTATGCACTTTTATCCTGTTGATCTAAAATTAGTTACTCCGATCCTTCCTACCTTTAGTGGAAAGTGGAAGATCGAAACGTTCTGTAACATAACAATTCAAGGTTAAAGTGCAATCAAATTTCAAACTTTAGGAATAAAAACATGGTCAAATTTAAAATGCAATGAACTAAAGTGTAATGAACTCATGTTTATATATTGAGGACCCAATCTTAATTTGTAGAGCCTTAAAAGAATTTTAGGGACCAAATGACTGATTTCCAAAATACTGGAGATGAAAAGCAAATAAAAGCCAAATTTCGAGGAGGTCTTATTACTATATGCAAAATTTTTCTTACACACTCCATACAACCCCCAGAAAAAAAAGATACGTTTTCTGGATCTCACAATATTTATTGTTTATTTGTTATGCCTGAAAGCTAATTTCTATTACTTTAAAATTTGAAACTAGTAGTGCTGTGCTTTCCCCAGGATGGAGTTAGAATTGGGGCCTAAAAAATAGGAAAGAAAAGAAAAGAAGGTAAACTTTGGAGGTGTAATATGAGAATTTTTAAAATTTATGGGTGCTTTAATTTTATTGAAAATATTTATTTATGATATATTCAAAAGTTTGGACATAGGTTGTTTAGAAAATATCCAGAGGTTGTGTAGATAAAAATGAAATTTTATATGATGTTTATTTTAAAGTTTGGAATAGGCGAAGAAATGATGTTTATATGCACTGATTAAATGAAATACTTAGGAAAATCTGTCCTTTTCAGTAGTAAGAGGTTGTTTTTTTTACCCTTTTTTTTAATTGAATGGATTGTTGGAAACTATGTTCAGGAGTCCTGCTATGCTGCATGATGCTGTAGGGCAGTTTGAAGAAACAACAAAATTCAATTGGGCAGTAGATCAGCTTGCAACATAATGATAAATGCATTATAATTCATAGAAAATGTCTCTTCATGAAAGTTGGTAGATAATAGGATATTAGTTGCAATTATGATCTCTTTACATTGTTTAATCAAATAATATCTACAAGAAATTTGTTTGCCATCTTCATGAATTTTGCAGTGTCCCAAAGCTTTTTGAAAGGGAATTTTCATCTAGATTTGCTTATCTTTTGTCTTTCGGTTTCCATTCTGTTTCCTAGTTACTGGTCTAATGCTTGGTGATGGTTATGTTATCATGGTTCAGGCTTTGGATACGTTCAATGCAGCAGTTGTTTCTCCAGTATATTACGTAATGTTTACAACTCTAACTATTATTGCTAGTGCCATAATGTTTAAGGTAATAGGCCTGATGCTTTTTTTGGGATCTGTTTATTCTGTGTAATCATGGTGCCATTGTAATTTGAAATACCTGAATTAATGAGCTCAATTGTTTATTGTTGTTTTTTACAGGATTGGTCTGGTCAAGATGTGAGCAGCATAACCTCTGAGTTATGTGGATTCATTACCGTAATATCAGGAACGATCATACTTCACGCAACTAGAGAACAGGAACCACCACCTCCTTTAGGTACATATGAGACTCATCCTTTCTCCCTTCCTCTCTTTTCTTTTTTTTTTTTTTTATTTTTTCCTTTAGGTTGATTAGTGGGCATGTGTTGCATTGGTGGTGCTGAAGTTGAGTTGGCTACTTGTGACCCATTCATTTCTTGTCTGCATTAAGGAGATAAATGTGCATGCTCTTGGCGTTTATCTAATAATTCTAGTGCCGTCGACCATTCTTGTCTTGAAGCTTGGGCATAGATAAACTGTTGATTTTAAGAACAGGTCTTTGGGAAAAAATTTGTTATGTATTTCATATATTTTAATGAGATCCTATACATCCTATTTATACACAAGTATTAAATTCTAAATAGGAAAAAAACAAATAAGGAAAGATATTCCAAATCAACAAAGATAAAGATATTCCAAATCAACAAAGTCAACATTCCTCCTCAAGTTGGTGCATAGATATTGCACATGTCTAACTTGCAAACCAAGTTATGGAATTGTTTGCTATTAAGCCCTTTAGTAAGAACATCTGCAATTTGATTATCCGAAGTCACATAAGTAAGTTTCAAAACAACTTGGATGACTTTTTCTTTTATGAAGTGTCTATCAATCTTTATGTGCTTTGTCCGGTCATGTTGAATTGGATTTTGAGCAATACTAATTGCGGCCTCGTTATCACAAAACAAAGTTGAATCTTCTCCTTTTGACATTTGCAATTCTTCCATTATCTTTCTTAGCCATAACAGTTTGCAAACATCTTGAGCCATAGCTCTATATTCCAATTCTGCGCTCGAACGTGCTATTACTGTTTGCTTTTTACTTCTCCATGTGACTAGGTTTCCTCCAACAAAGGTACAATAACCAGAAGTTGATCTCCTATCATCTGCAGATCTAGCCCAGTCAGCATCAGTAAAGGCTTTGGTTTTAAGGTGACCATGCTTAGAGAAAAGTAGGCTTCTTCCAAGAGCAGACTTTAGATATCTTAAAATGCGAAAAACAACTTCAAGATGAGAACTATGAGGATCATGCATATATTGACTAACAAGATTTACAACATATGCTATATCAGGTCTAGTATGTGAGAGATAAATCAATCTACCAACCAATCTTTGATATTGACCCAAATCAACCTGTTTTCCCATTCCTGCTTGTAACTTGTGATTAACTTCAATGGGAGAGTCGGCTGGTTTATAACCCAACATGCTAGTTTCTTTCAAGAGATCCAGGATATATTTCCTTTGAGATAGAAAGATTCCTTTATCTGATCTAGCAACTTCTATACCCAAAAAGTATCTTTGACTTCCTAAGTCCTTAATCTCAAACTCTTGAGCCAACAACTTCTTTAATCGAGCAATCTCCTCCTCATCATCTCCAGTTACAAATATATCATCAACATAGACAATTAGTAAAGTGATATTACCATTACAATGTCTAATGAACAAGGTATGATCAACATTACGTTGAAAATAGCCAAAGGAAATAATGGTCTTACTGAATCTGTCAAACCATGCTCTAGGTGACTGCATCAGCTCATACAATGCTTTCTTCAATCTGCAAATCTTACCTTTGGTCTTCTCATCATCAAAGCTTGGAGGAATATCCATGTACACCTCTCTCTGGATCACTATGCAAGAAAGCTTTTTTTACATCAAACTAATGCAAGTTCCAATTCAGGTTGGCTGCACAGGACAATAGAACTCCAATAGTGTTCATCTTTGCAACTGGAGCAAAAGTCTCCTGATAGTTCACCCCATAAGTTTGAGTAAATCCCTTGGCCACCAATCTGGCTTTGTACCTGTCAATTGTGCTATCTGCCCTGTGTTTTACTGTGAACACCCATTTGCACCCTACTTTTTTTTTTCCTGATGAAGGGGTAACAAGTTCCCAAGTTCCATTCTTTGCCAAAGCTTTCATCTCCTCCACCATTGTTGCTTTCAATTTTGGATCTTGATATGCTTCCCGCCAATTTTGTGGAATAGAAACAGACAACACAAAGGCTTTATAGAAAGGAGATAAAGAGTCATAAGAAACATATTGGTTTATAGGATGTTTGGTGCAAGTTGTAACCCATTTTCTAAGAGCAATGAGAAGATCAATATCATTAATAACAGGTTCAAGGTCAGGAATATTAATAGAAGAAATTGCATCAGGATTAGAACCAGGAGTTATAAAAGGCTCACCAGGTGGTTTTTCAGGTGCTGATTGCAGAGACGATGGTTGACCAAGTGTATCATGCGTGATGGCATTAACCTCCTCTCTTTGACTGTACCTCTTTAAATCTAGCCTATCAAGTCTATCCTTTTGTTGTTCATGCTCATTACTAGTGTTAAGATTCAAAAATTGTTCAGGAACAGATACAGATATAGGAGCTAAAGGAGCTTCATTTTCTATCCTAATCTTCCATTGAAGAGGAGCTGGGGAGAAATAAGGCTCAAACTCTCTAAAGGTCACATCCATACTCATAAAGTATTTTCGGGTCGGAGGATGGTAACACTTATAACCCTTCTGAGCGGCAGAATAACCAACAAATACATATTTCAAAGCTCTAGGTTCTAACCTGCCTCCATGCCTATAATGAACAAAATAAACACAACCAAATACTTTTGGAGGAACAATATATGATGTCTTACCCTGTAAAGCTGCTATAGGGCTTTTCAAATTGAGTGTCTTAAGAGGCATTCTATTAATGAGATAAGCTGCAGAAAGCACTGCATCTCCCCAATAAGTCTTGGGAACATTCATGGTGAATAAAAGTGATCTAACTACCTCTAGTAAATGCCTATTTTTTGTTTCAAACACTTCATTTTGAGCACTAGTAATCACACAGCTAGTTTGATGTATGATTCCATTTGAGTCTAAATATGGCTGAAACATGCTATTCATATATTCTGTTCCATTATCAGTTCTTAAAATTTTAACTTTTGCATCAAATTGTGTACTAATCGTGTTATGAAAAGATTTAAAGCAAGAAAACACTTCACTTTTTGCTCTTAGCAAGTAAACCCAAGTTAATCTAGTACAACAAATAATGAATGTAACAAAACCTTTATAATCAGATAAGGAAAAAGTAGAAGTAGGACCCCATACATCCGAATGAATTGTCATGAAAGGACAAGACTTTTATTATTATGGGTAATATAAGAACTCCTTGTATGTTTAGTAAGTTCACAGACATCACATTTTAAAGACTCTAACTGACAATGTTCAAAAAGATTAGCATAGACTTTCCTTACCACCGAAAAAGAAGAATGTCCTAATCGCCTATGCCATATAATTATTTCTTAACTAGCATTACCATGATCTCCTAACAGTGCTCGAGGAATGCTATGAGCCAAAGGATTCCAATCTTTTTCGAGAAGATACAATCCGTCATGCAATCTACCAAACCCAATTGTTTTCCCTGTTCTCAGATCCTATAAAACACAATGAGTAGGAAAAAACTTAACTTTGCAGTTGAGAGCTTTTGTAATAGCACTAACAGATAAAAGGTTTACAGGAAAACTGGGGATATGAAGGACAAAAGCTAAATCAATGTTGGATGTGCACTTAATAGGACCTATGCCAGAAACAGGTGCAAAAGAACCATCAGCAATACGAACAGTTTCTTTGCCAGTACAAGATGAATAGGTTAAAAATTTATGAAAAGAGCCTGTCATATGTTTGTTTGCTCCTGAATCTATAATCTATGAATCATCAATAGAATTAGTAAGAATGGCCATACTAGATTGCACAAAATTAGAAGTAGCTACGGTGGATGAAGAGTGAAGTTGGATGAAGAGTGAAGTTTTGACAGAAAGCGCCATAACAATTGTACCCCCTCAATAGAAAAATTTCCAGCAGAAGATGCTTCACGTAGGTGTGCAACAAGTCTAGTTGAACCGATCCTTTTACCACCACGACCAATGCTTTTACTCCCACGACCCCTAATCAGTCATCCAGATAATTTCCAACATGTTTCCGTGGTTTCAAAACAATCACCCATGATTTTATCGAAATCAGACAATTACTAGGATAAGAAAACACAATAGAACGCAAAAAAACGCAGCGACAGATGAAAAACCTAGAGAACAGTAGCAAAAAAAGTTCCGAAATAGCCTTAAGCGAAGAAAACAGTCACTAATCAGGCTGTACTGGACAGGCATGAAGTCGCCAGAAGTGGACGAACCTGCTGGAGTAGGTTCCACTGATAGATATGCTGGAAGGTGGCTTCACGCGCCGGTGCATGTTGGAGGCGCTGGAAATGCAGTCGGCGCGTGAGCTCACGCGCTTCGTCAGACAGTCACCAGATTTTAGGGTCTAGGTCGCCGGAGGCTGGGCTTTCTTCTAGGGTGGCGGTGTACTTCAACTCCACCTAAAACCTGTCGATCGTGAAAAAAGTTCCATTAACCTGCTGCCCTATAAGATTTCCGATCTGGTTCCGTTTTGGTTCAGCCAAACAGGTTTGGTTTCGGCTCTACCATGTTGATTTTAAGAACAGGTCTTTGGGAAAAAAATTTGTTATGTATTTCATATATTTCAATGAGATCCTATACATCCTATTTATTCAGTATCAAATTCTAAATAGGAAAAGAACAAATAAGGAAAGATATTCCAAATCAACAAAGTCAACATAAACCCTATGAGCAGTTATTCTTGAAACTTTTAAATTGATACCACTAAGTTCAGTTTTGGATGTTTACACCATAAACATCATCTATGAACAATATTCTGTCTTTCTTTTATCTTGTTTTACTTCTATTAGGCCATCAGACCCAAGACTATATGGCGCAGATCTAGGATTGTACTCGCATTGCACAATAGCAAAGAAGCTCAATTGCTCAAAATATTGAACTGCTCCTTAATTGATCCTTAAGAAAGCATTTCAAGCATAGATATTCATGTACTTGGAATATGTGTAAACCTTATTAAGGAGTTCTACTCCTGAAAGGTAAACCTGATTTCAGTTGTGCAAGAATTTAGGCTTCTATAAAAAACTAAAAAATTACGAACTTTCTCAGTTGAACAAGGACCAAAAATAAGAGTTAAAGGAAAAGCCAGATTCAAAATATGTCATATAATCCATCCTATCCCAGTGACAATAGAAATCCTGTCAGTCCCAAGGCCCCTCCGGCTCCAAAACTATAAAATACTGGACCAGCAAAATTTCCTGGAATAAACACACATAAGGCACTATAAGAAAAATTAAGTAATGTCTTGATCAACATATTGTAATATAGATCACATAGGATTTATGTGACTGACCTCAACTAGTCTGATAAAAGAATTTGTTTTTGTTCTCTCTCTTAGTTGGCTAAGAAACTGGGTTTGATCCACCATGTTAATCTTGGGGATCCTACTTAACATGCAATTCATGGGTTTTATTGCAAGCCCACAAATTTTGTGAATCAAATGGGAATTACCTGTTTTTCTATACGTAAAGAATAAGCTGAGCTAGTATTTGTTTTCTGCAGAACAGTTCATATGATTCCTATAAAAACTGTGCACCAGCAAATGAATGTTTGTGCCTTTTGTTGGGACATATCCGCTCACCTTCAGACTCTTATAATATTTGAACAATTTTCGGGTTCCTTCAACTAAACCAATCTGTAATTCAGCTTTCTTATTTATAGTTGAATAGGATCTCTTATCTTCCTTTATTGGTGTCAACAATGCTATTAATTTGATCTTATGAGTTATGACATGGTCTCTTATCTTCCTGTGTTTTGTTTGCTATTACAGGAACTGTGACATGGTACGTAAATGAGGATTCCGTTAAAGGCCTTGAAGAACATTTAATCAACATACAAAGTTCAGATGAGCAATGATTCTTCCAGGTTTGAGATGGTTGTGAAAGGAAGATGATCACTGATGTTGGAGCAAATGCTGGAATCAGTGTTATGGCAAAGTAATTGCAGCATGAAGATCTCCCTGTTTTTTGCGTTGTGAATAATTGGAGTGGTCTTTTGTGTATGCCTTTTCTTGACAAGCTGTGGGAGGACACCCAGAGTGTATAGCTCTAATTTTGAATCATAAAAACCCTTGACTAACACTCTGAAGAGTCCAGTTGCCGTATTAAAAGATTAGCACAGAAAAAGAACTTACAGACAACAGATTTAACCACAGGTACCATGATCTCCTGCAGCTGGTCATGATATTTGTAAATATTTGTGTTTTATCTATTAGTTGCACTTGATACCTTTCATGGTCAAGTTTGATTGATATGTGAGTGTTTATTAGTCCACTGTTTATAGTTAAGTAAATTTTTTTTTTTTTTAATTAATTGCATTTCCATTTTCGTGATATTAAGTGAGATTTGGAGCAAGTGCTTAATTGAGGACGTGCGAGTTGAGCACACGGTCCCGTTAAAACTGAAAATTGAATCAAACTCGTCTAGTTTGGTTTTTTGATTGATCTAGTTCTTAGTAATTTAAGGAAATTTTAGTTTTTAGTTTTCGGTTCGATTGCAGAAATATGTTAAAATTGCCAAAGAATTTAGATTGAGCAGACTGGACTGACTGAATTGAGTTTATTTACTCCAATTTGATTTTATGCAATTCAGAACTCGATTTTTTCCCTTTTTCCTTTTTTTTTTTTTTTTTTTTTTTTTTTTTTTTCACTAAGTTCGAAGGATTGATAGAGAGTAAGGTTTATATCCAATAAAAAAACATACAGCGATCTAATGAAGCAGGACAAATGAACAAAAGAAATAAGGTTTTCTGTCATATTTCTTTTATTACTTAGAGTTTTGTGAGCGATTCGTAATTAGAGGCAATCAGAACAAGCAAAGGAGAACTAAGGAGAGAAAATGGATGGGCGCGAAGAAAATGCATAGGATTCAGTGTAACTCGAAATATTGTCAGATGTAAGAGGCATTAAGAAGTCACATCAACTTTGTCTACACAAATGATCCTCGCCTGCTCCTTTAATGATTCCTTAAGAAAGCATTTCAACGCATATATATTTTTCATGTACTTGGAATATGTGTAAAACCTTAATTAAGGAGTCTTACTCCTGAAAGGGTAAACCTGATTTCAGTTGTGCAAGAATTTGAGGCTTCTATAAAAAACTTAAAAAATTACGAAACTTTCTAGTTGAACAAAGACCAAAAATAAGAAGGTTAAAAGGAAAAAGCCAGATATCAAAAATATGTTCATATAATCCATCCTATCCCAGTGACAATAGAAAATCCTGTTCAGTCCAAGGCCCCTGCCGGCGCTCCAAAACTATAAAATACTGGACCCAGCAAAATTTCCTGGAATAAACACAACATAAGGCACTTATAAGAAAAATTAAGTAATGTACTGATAACATATGTTGTAATATAGATCACATAGGATTTATGTGACTGACCTCAACTAGTCTGATGAAAAGAAATTTGTTTTTGTTCTCGTTCCTCTTAGTGGGGGCTAAGAAAATTACTCGCCCGCGATATTGTTGATCCACCATGTTAATCTTGGGAGATGGCCCCATACTTTAACACATAGAGTCGTGGCAATTCAAGTAGGGTACAATTATTCTGGCGAATAGCACCACCTCATATATATATTGTTTTGTTGTGTAATCATAAATGGCATTTAGGGAATTACCTGCTTTTGTCTTATTAGGCGTAACTAGGAATAAAAGCCTGATGTCTCCATAGTTATTTGTTGTTCCTTCTGGTGACCCCCAGTAACCGGAGATTTCATAGGGTGAGTTAGGGGCCTTGAATAAATAGAATCCTGCACAGGCACCAGCAAATGAATGGTTTGTTCATAGCTTCGCACATATGTTGCTCTGGGATATGATCGAATATTCTTCGGCGCTCACCTTCAGACTTCCTTTTAGGATGATGAGATTACACTTGGAACAGATTTTGCTTCTATTCTCTTCGGAAGTTCCTGCTCACACCAGATATCAACATATTCTGATCCCACAAATAATCATAAGGGGCATAAATAAACTTATAATCTTAGGCTTTCACTCGGAATTAGAAAGAATAGCATTGTATATAACTAGGGCTCATTGGATCAGGATATCGGGAGAATTTTTAATTGTGTCAGTTCATAACGCAAAGTGCCCTAATTTAATTTGACCTCTTAATGATTGGTTTATGGGTGTCTTACCTTATGGATCATGTGGGCCTTTCTGCTGTGGTAGTCTATCCGTGTGGTTTGTCTTTGTTTGCTTATTCCCTTTGTTACATGATCATACTGTGTGTTTGACATTGGTACGAGAGGTGTAGGGAGTATATCCGTTAAAGTGCCTTAGAAAGAACATATTTGTTAATTTACGAAGCAGATTAACAGAGGAGTGAGCATGTGAGCACAAATTGAATGAGTCGTTTTCACATAGTTGTATTGAAGATGGAGTTGTTTGGGTGTTGGTTGTGTTTGTAAAGGTGGGAATAGATGATCATGCGTACGAATGGGGTTCAGGAATGCCTTGCAACCATGACTATATGGTATCAAGATTGTTTTCTATTGTGTTTATGCATGAGTTTAATTTGGGTGCTGAGCACATGAGCAACTGAAAGTTAATTTCTTCTCGGCCTATGGTTGTTTTCTCAGGGAGGTTTTGTGTGAATAAGATCCTCGGAATGGTGTGTGGTTTGGCCCCTTTGGTATGCCTTTAATTGACAAGCTGTGGTAGGACACCCAGAGTGTATAGCTCTAAATTTGAATCATACAAAACTTCCCCTTGACTAAGACACTCTGACAGAGGGCTCCACGCAGTTGCCCTCAGTGTTATATAGCAAAAAGTGATTTAGCTACTAGTACTAAAATAAGTATAGAGCTTGAGCTAGGACAACAGACTTTAACAGCAGGCTATCTCCATAGATTGTGGTTTCCTTTCAGTTCTGCGATTACGGATAGATGTAATTTAAGATTTAGAGCTCATTTTTGTGTTCTTATCTATCTTTAAGGTGATTGCGCACTTTGAATAAACACTTTTCACTGGATACAAGATTTTGATTTTGATTATTTGTGAGTGCCTTATAATTAGTAACTCACTTGTGATTTATTATAAGTCTATAAAGTAAAGGCATATTAGTTTTTATATTTTTTGAATTTACATTGCAATTGTCCACTTTTTTCTTTGGCAGTTGTGATTAACTTATAGTGAGTTTATCTTTTGGAATGTAGCAAAGTGCTAGCTTAAGATGGTTGAGGACAGTGCGGTATGGATTGTGGAGTTAAGAGTCTATCGCACTTTCCTCTTAAATGGTCCTGCGCTTAAAAACTGAAAATTAATCACAAACTTCGGAATCTAGTGGTTTTATTGAAGTGTGATCTTAAAGTTACTTTATCAACACCTTTAGTTATTTAAGGAATTTTAGTTTTTAGTTTTTCGCGTTCGATGCCAGAAATATGTTTTGTGCTCAACGAATTTTGTGACTTCAAACAATAGATATTTATAGCTTTTGAGCAGAACTGGTACTTGAGGGCCTGAATTGTAGCTTTCATTTACTCGCATAAATTTTGATTTTTTTGGTATGGCATTAATTCCGCAGAACTCTCGTATCTCTTTTGATTTTTTCCACAATCGTTTTCCTTTTCTTTTTTTTTGGTTTTTTTTTTTTTTTTTTTGCAAAAATAGGTGTCCAGATTAGGAATGTACGTTTTTGAGTTCATTATACAGTCATGTTGTTGGTTCGGTGGCTTTCCAAAATCGAAAGTTTGAACGGATGTTTACCGCTCTTTTATACATATTATATAAAATATTTGCGCAAAAATGCGCATTGCACTTAGGTTGGATAAATTCTTTAATGTAGATCAGGCGGTTCTGGCAACACATAGAGCTAATTTCAGACGCAGCGAGTAACTATACACACATCATAATATTCAGCCATTTCCTTTTTGGACTTTATATATCTCATCTCAGAATCCACAACGCGGAAAGGAGATCCCTCTATCACTGAAAGGAAGTAACAACAGGTGAGAAGAAAAATAAGGGATGGGAAATTAAGGATAAGAAATTATAGCTAATACCGTTTTCCACATTTTTGGGCGTTCGTTGGCTCCCAGGATAGTAGATTTATATTCGCTCGAGATGTGCGTAAATTTTCGAAGGGTGCACTCCGGCGGACTTGACAAAGACGATTTCATGTTCGGCAATTGCTGGCTGGGACCGGTGGCACATTGTAATATCTGAAATACTTAGAAGAATGCTTGGACAGAACAAAAGCTAGTAAAGGTGACACAAAAAACTTATTGTCGGCAAAAACTATGTTTGTCTTTCCTCTTGCAAGAGGGCTTAACGGGGAAAGCAATGTTCTGATGGTATTATTAACACAACATCTATCATATGTAAAAGGCTATTGGGTTAGGCATTGATTTTTTGCATTTTTTTCAATCCATTGTTTTAGTCTTAAACTTCCTCATTCCGCATTTCTAAAAATATTATTTGCATGAATTATTCTTTATAAATGGTCCACGGTGGCATTTAAAGGGTGTAAGGATAAGTGTAATTTCCCTTGAAATTATTTAAAGGATTAAGGGAATAAAGGTAATTGTGTGAATGTTCCAATTATTAAACTCATCTCCACCCTTAAAACGATTCGAACTGCGTGGATTATGGAGGATAATTATTATATTCTAATATAAATAAGGGTAAATTTAGAAAATTAATCGCATCATGTATTAATTTTTTCCCTATTTAGGCAAAAATATTTTTTGGTGCTATTATTAATTTTATGGAACAAAATGAGGTACATTTTGTACAATTGATTTAACAGCTATTTGTCGGGTCACATGAAAAAGAAAGTAAATTAGACTATAATATAGTCTTTAACCGCAGATAAATTATGTCATAAACTCATGACTATCCATTCAATTCTTACATTCTCATTGATTGCTATTATATGTAATTTATTATTATCCTTATGGATTATTATTATTATAGTGATCGGCATATATAAGAGTCCATACAATTACTAAAAAATTGGTGTATCAAAGAACTAAATAATAAAAACATCGGCTATCAAATTTACCCAGATATTTTAGCACTCTTAATCTTTATGGGAGTTGCACATTGTAATATATATCACCTAATTTATGCCGAGCTAGTTGTTTAAGGACAATTCTTTTAGTACTTAATGACACCTAGGTTTAATTTAGATCGAAGCTACATAATAATAATCAGATGATCAATCTTTTCTTTACTTAATGCACATTAATTATAACATTTCCGGGTTGGATCTACAATAGATCCTCAAACTGGGGTTTACATTCTTCGTAAAAACTTAAACCTGAATGGTAATAACTCTTACACCTAACTCATTAGGAATAGAAATATGGAGAGTATATCTCAAGTTATGTATATA